TAGATGCGAAGAGAAGCTGTTTTAAGAGTGGCTGGAAAAAAGTAAAGAGGTGGTAGGACAGAAGTGGTAACAAATACACAGTACTTCTAAAAAAGCAGACATATGACATACCAGAAGATCAAACAACTAAACATTAGCTAATAATTTTAAAGTTAGCTGGTGAGCCATCTAATATACTATCCCAAGTTTGGAAAGAATTAAAAAAAAAAAAAAAAAAATCAGACTTGGATAAGCAGTAGGTCTTTGTTCTTAAGCCAGAACAACACTAACAGTGCATTCCAGTGCCAAAGTATCCCCTATAACTGTTGGCAAATAAAAGGGCATATATCCTTACCATGTACTAACCATATGTCATTTTAGAACTCTTAGATGAAGGCCTGAAAAGCACTGACTTGAAATCAAGAGGTCACACTTGCTGAAATACATGCATATTATGACTCAGTACATGATCATCACAATTCATGATATATTTGGGTCCATTCTCTTCCCTTCCCAGAGCAACAATAAGCAGATTAACGTATGATAAGATGACTTACATGATGTAAGAAGTTTACCAGTATGGGATAACTTCCCACAACTCTTCCTGAGTATTTGGCATATAAGCAAAAATAAAAAACACAAGGGAGAATGTTTAGATATCTTCTCCCAAGAGGCAAACTACTTGGCCAGTGAACAAGTTTTCTACACTTTTCACAACAACTGGATTAATATCTAGCTGGCTAGACCAGTTATATCACTTCCCAGACGGTGTCTTATACAGTAGAAACTACTCTTCATTTTTTATGACCTTTTTTAAACACCAATTCATTTTCTGGTTTACAGAACAGAGTTCTAAAGTGCTGTTTGAATGAACTGGCTAGAAGATGATACTTAATCAACAAGGAACTTGAATATTCTTCTTTAACAAGATTTATTGTCAAGTTATCTGTATCCCATGATCAGAAGGTATCAGATTACAGGATAGAATTTCATTCCCATAGTAGTAAAAGAATCTTGAATCTTAGTCACTGAATCAATTCTGTATCAACATAAAATCTGTCAAGTGTGGGCTGTTTAGAGTGAATTCTACTACACAACTAGGAGCCAGGCGAACACCATCCTCTGTAGACAGAGGGTGGCATTAAACTTTTGAGCAGCTGCTCCTTTTACAGAAATGAATCAAAGACAATGTGTTCTCTAAGTGGTGGCTCTTAGATCACTGACACAGCATGTCAAGACTTACAGCTACAAGGTACCAAAGCATAATGTATTACTACAATGAAACTAATATTGGAACAGGTATAAAGGGTTAATAGAGTAAATAAAATATGGTTACTTTTTATGTCATCTCACCAGTGTATACATCTAACTGTTATAGAGGTATTTTTATAAGTTTTGTCATAGGTTATCCGGTCGGTTGTTTTTTTCTCTCCTGCCTCATACCTGAAAGTTACAATTAATATTTACCCAAGATATAATTAACTCCACACACTGATGGATTTGGACATATCTTGCTCTTGAATCTAAGCAGATATACAGAGAAATTAGTCTCTGCAGGCATTTGTGAGTACACAGAATTTTAACTTTTTAATCACCTTTGCAAAACAATTTCAATGTCTGCCTTTCCACATCTGCAAAGCGCCTGCTATCCATTAAGCTGATTTTAGAAGCTTCCTACTATCATTTTTCACATACAAATACTTCATTCTATTGAAATTAATATTTAATGACTACTTTACTCATTTTTCAATGAATAAAAAAATTGTGGCTAATTTTGGTTAATTTGTTCTGTAGCCAGCAAACCATTTTCACACTGAGGAGAATCCTTAAAGTGTTACACTACGACTACATTTAATAATGGCAAAAAAACCCTCCCCCCCAAAGCTGCTTCTGAGAGAAACAGCAGGAAAACAAAAAGCATTTGGAGAACCCTATGGACAAAATAAATTAGTTTTGGAAACTGTTAAAGTCATTAGCATATTCATGAATGTTGAGTATTCTACTTACTAGGTCATTCATATTTGTCTGGCTGGCTGGATGAATTTCTTCCAAGAACTCTAGCACATAGAACGTGTATCTGTCCATAAGATGAACGCCAATCCCAAGATCAGGTTGATGCTTAAAAATAACACACAGCAGTTATTGGGCATTTGCAGGAAAGAACTCAGTATTCAGGAGAGGGAACAGAATGTAAGAGCGCACTACAAAAGCAAAGCACTTTTTTTTTGTTCTTAGGCAAATTATGCCAAGAAAATGATTAATCACGAAGAAACATTGTTGACAAGTTGAATAATATAGCTTATCTTCTTTTTTCTAAACTATATCCTGGTAATTTCCATGTTTGCCAAAAAGCAGGGAACCCCTTCTTCCTAATGGTCCAGTACAGATTCGCTGGCTGCCCCGAGCTCCTTAGGACTTGGAAAACAGGGCTGGGAGAGACAGCTTCTCTTACAGCACTGTGTGGGTTCAGGTAGGTAGTCCTGACCTGCTGGTTTTGGTCTGGCTAGGATCTCTCTCCTATCACTCCTGTAGCGGGTCTGGGTTTGTGTGGTTGCGGGGTTTTTTTTGTACATCAAGTGTAAGAAGTCCTAGATTGAATATTCCACACACATATCTCTCAGCAGTCTTCCCATAAAATTTCTTCCTATCCTAGGCAATGCATAAATTGGCCAACAAGCACAGAAATCCATCATTAGCCTGGTTCTCCAGGACAGCGCACAAAAACAAACAGGAAAAGTACACTCACAAGTTTTGTCAAAACCTGTGCTTTTAACTCAGGCATTCTGTAAATTGGCTTCACGATCACAAAAATCTACTTACTGATAAAGAATCTTCTCCAACTTGGCTGCTAGCTAAGGCCATTATATTAGGTGAATAAAATCGTTCATACATGGATGCTCCTTGACAAGTATCAATAATAAACAACAATTCATTGTACCTGAAAGAAATAAAACGGCCTCCTTATGCATCTCTACATTGAAACAACATATACGTACTTTGCTTTTTAGTTACCAGGACAGCTGCTAGGAACCTAAGGAACAGAAGAGTTCACACTGATTGATTGTAAGGCGCGAGTTTAGTCAAAGCAACACATTTGAGCAGCTGTAACTGCAGGAAGCCAAAAAAAAAAAAAAAAAAGAAACCTCTTCTGTTTGAATGCAAACTTTCATGAAATTTTATGGACAACTGAGAGCATTCACTGCTGAAGGTAAGCAAGGCCTACCGGTAAGACTTCAGGCATGTTCATGAAATAGAGTATTGAACCTCTAAATAATGCTTTTTTCTTACCTTCTTTTCTGCCACATTTGTTCAAAGGCATCAGCAAGTTCTACATTTGTGATTTCTTCAGAATCTTGAAATTTTAGAAAACCATTTCCACCATGGCCTGACAGCAAAATCAGAAATTAGGCAAGTATGTAAGTTAAAGGAAGACATTCAGAGTGGTTGACCATTTTTCTAAGAAAAAAAATAAAAAATATTAAAAAAAAAAATCACAAACACAATTCTCTTTCTCCAAACAGACCTAAGCAAAAGAAAATATTATCACAGTAAGAACAGTACACATACACCACTTAAAGTGTGGAAACTATACTTGCTAAGTACTGCCTTACAAGTTTTTTCTTAATAGCACAACATCCTAAAAAAAGAAAAAAACCTTTTGTTGACTCTCTTTTTGTTTGGACTCCTGATGGGACTTCATGCTTTCACAAAGGCCCGTCCAACTGAACAACAAACATCAATGAACTGTAATTACCTGTCATATATATTAGAATATTGCTTCTGTCATCAGAAAGAAGACGTTTAGATCGTGGTGTGCTTGGTGGGATTCTTCCTGTTAATACACGCAAGAAATTTTCAACAGTAACCTAGGAATAGAAGCATAAAGTAATTTTCTAAAGAGAAAAAATATTGATTAACAACTCAGGGCTGTGTTACATAAATTAAATAATGGAACACTAAAATATGCAGTGTATCTAACCAGACATAATATTGCTTGGTATAATCTGCATAAACAGACATTTTCTGTTTAAGGTTTTACTGCAAGTTCAGTCATATGGTACTTTTTACTAACCTTTTACTTTACTGTATCCCACTAACATCAGCCTGTTGCTTTACTATATTCAATAAGTCTACTACCATTATAATTTCTAAATACATTTTCACTAATATGAAAACCTGTCAGCATATAGCTCTATTCTGTCAAAACTGCTCGTGTACTCACAAAATGCTCTTACATTAGCGTGTGTTACCATGGAAAAAGAAAAGTTTAAATTCCCTCTGCAACTCAGGAAAAGAAAAACAAGATCAATTTTGGTTACGCAAGTCTGAATGATCAGGTAAGACCCATCTGGTGACTATAAAACATCCCATAAAACACCACTTCCTCTTCATGCAGACGTACACAGCTCAAATGCTAGCAACAAATCCATACTCAGGAAAAAACATGATAAAAAGAACATATCTCTATTTCAGTGTTGCATCTTCACTTCTTTACATAAAACTTCAGAGAAATAAAACATCTACTATATACTTAAATATGCTCCTGTAAACCTTTAGTAATGATTATATAGCACTATTAAACTATGCAATCAATGTCCAATTTAAGACCAACTGGTAAAGACACTGTTTGAAGGAATATTATACAAAAACAAAAAGGTGACAGAATGCAGACTTCTATATAGTAATTACTTTACAGTAATGATTAGGTTATGTATTTTGGTTTATTCTGATAAAAGCATATGCTTAAGATTAGAAATTTAAGTAGGTTCCCCTATTAAACATTTCACTTGCATGCCAAGAGTTTCACAGTGGTGTGAGGTATTTGCAAGATGAGACACTGACCATCCATTTTCAAAGAGAAATTTCAGTAGTATGTATGTATTCCTAATACATACAAGAAGTTCCATATATTCTTTTAATTGTGGAGATTCCATTATTAAAAATGGCCAATATACAACATGTTTCTAGAATAATAAACTCCAAAGACAAAATTGAGTATCAAAGGAAAGAGAGGAATGTGTATTTTAAACCTGTCAGCTGACAATAACAGCCCAGCTCAAAACCAGTGATGTGAATAGGAAGGCTTCCTCAGGCTTCACAGATGTATAAATCTTTAAACCAACACTAAAAACAAAGACATGCTGATTTAGTTAAAGCACAGTCACCTCGTAGCTTCGGTAATCCACTTCCACATCATCTCCATAGACATTTAGCTCCATGTTTTTATGGCTAAACACAGTAGCTGGTTTGGGATTTCTAGGATTACATGCCATATCATCTGCCAGCATCAGGACAATGTGACTATGGAAAATAAGACAAAAACATTTCAGCCATTCTACTTTCACATAACGGTCAAATGGAAATTACAACAACGCTGTCCCATGATTACAACAATAGCCTATAACATTAAGAAGATTCCTGGAACTGTAAATGAAATTTTGCTTAGTTATACTCTATTTCCTTATGTACATCCTCACTATTGTAAAGATACCACACACGGAAATGCAGCTAGCTGTTTTTTATCAACAGGATTAAGTCAGGCCAAAGATGAGCATGAGAGTAGTTGACATTAGCAACTTTGTGATACAGACTTGCCAGGACATAGGCTGGCAGAACTCTTTAAAAAAAAAAAAATTTGAGATTTTTATGGGGCACTAAATTTCATGCAGCTCCACAAAAGAAATCCCAACCTGTACGCACCTTCTCAGGTAAATTCAAATTATTATGACAATTTTTAATTATACTTGAGGAACCCCTGAAATTACATTTGAGGAACTTGTGAACATTTCTCAAACCATTATACTCCATCTGATATGCTACTGTATGACTACCTCTGTTAATCGAATTTTCCTGAAGAACACAAGTAGGCTGACACCAAACATTTTGTCTTCTTTCATAGTACCAAGAAAAAAAAACCCAGCACATTATAAAGTTGTTCCGACTTGTATGCAGCCAAAAATCTATATTTTACCTGGCAGGGTCAGGTTTGGGTGAAAATATGAAATAACTAGAGACTGTTAGCACTAGGAAGAATGTGCCAGAGATGTCTAGAACAAGGTGAAGTCAGTCCTTTCCTCAGAAAACCCTGTCTTGGACATAGTTTCTCATGGACCGTGATCTTTGTGTTCTCCCAAACAATACTTACAAAAGGAAAGCTCTGTATCCTGCAAAGAATGCTGCTAATTCAGACTCTCAGGCACACAGTGAAAAATTAAACTGTGTCCTGCTATTTAAACACCCTTCCTGTGTTTGTCATCGTCCACCTGTATGTCTGCACGAACACTTTAAGAGTAAAGTTATTCTTTAGTAAGTGCTGGTAAACTCCACACTGCACCAAAAAAAAAAAGGGGGGGGGGGGGGGAAGAAGGAAAGAGAGGGACAAAAAGGGGAGGGGACGATGATGACAAAAGGGGGGGGTGGGGAGGAAGAGACAAATACTATCCAAAATAACATGGGCATAAATCCTCAAAAATAATCAAAGCAAATTATTTCAATGGGAATAAAATGCTGGCATAAATATGAAGCTGTAATGACAGAAGCCAGAGGAGGACAACTACAAAAGAAAAATATTTGTTTTCTCCACACATGAATATATGCCTTGCAGATTTACTGAGATAGTCAGGTGTACACCCATTTTTGAATTACACTCAAAAAGAACATTCCAGACTAAGTCATCACTAGCACTGTATTTTTGCTAGGACTATGTCTATTAAAAACAAGAATTAATAATCATGCATCACTCAGTAAAAGTTCTGCATAGTAGTAATACAGACAGGTGAGCACAAACATGCAGTTTGTATACTGTATGGCATTCTTAAAAGCATATGAAATATCCCACAGTTAGACAGAACCACTGTGAACAAGTGGTTCCTACAAGCAGCAAAACAATCTAGGTGTTAACTTGCAGCTTAACTGTTAAACCAAAGTAATCTAACCATATACTATATTAATGCTATTTTAATGATGTAAAACTTATATTGCATAATAATTCCAGGAATCAAGAATTATTTCTGGATTCATTTTGGCTTTGTTTTATTTTAGCAAAACTTTTTACTTACAAGTTGCAGCATCGTGCCCACATGTCAACAAACCAGAGCAACTTAGTTATAAAACCACAAATCATTTTCCTAATGAGTTCTGTTGTTGGATGACAAATATATTTAAATGACCAAATTGACACAGCTCCATTCAAAATGAGGCTATACACAAACCTCTCCAAAAAAACCAACCCCAAGAATCATTAAAAATGTTTATTGTTCAGATGTGATTTAGGGGTGGGTTTGGGTTTTAGTCATCATTATTTTGAATGAAGTTTTGCTGCAAAGAAAGAAAAACAGGTAGAAGAAGTTTGTCTAAGGGTGAATCCCACTCAAATCCATGTAAAAATTGCTGCAAATGGGATAAAATACGCTTGCTCTCTTTCTAGCTCTTCTCCAATGTCTTACTCTTGACCTTAGTCTAAAACTTTGCTGGTTTTTTGAGATTCATTTCCAGATCCTTGGGTGTGGATAAGAAACAGATCAGGTTACTGAACAACAGAAATCCCCAGCCATGCTGTAGGTTTTGCAGTGTTTCTAAAACTGCCACCTATTTTGATCTTAATAGCGAAGATGGATGGATGGAGAGAAGATGAAAGTTCTCGGGTAAGGGTAGAACAAATGGAAGAACTTCTAAGGTAGTGCCTAGGGCACCTATGCTTCAACGGCTATACGGGAAAAGACAGATGCTTCTGAATGTGATGTGCAAAAAACCGCCATATTTCTGTGCTTTCAGGCCACAATGCTTAGGCAGTACGTTCCCTTGGATTTATAGCCCCCAAATGCTTCCAAAAATTAGGTTTCAACATCCTCTCTGTCAAAACCCAAGAAGTCACTTTTTAAAAATAAACACAGGAAATGGGATGATATTGCCATTGCATTCACAGTTGAGTGGAAGCTAAGTGGGGACTCCAGGTACTACAGTTTTGGACTTGGACAAAAAAATGCCACGCAAACTTAATCCAGCAGAATATGTATTTTGCAATGATGGAGTGGGCCATACCTCTTTAGGCAGACATGCTGGACAAACTACCAGTCCTCTAAACTAACATTAAAAACCAGGACCACCAGGATTTCCATAGGAGCCTATGGATACATATAGCCTATTATTCAATGGATGTTGGTGCGTAAAATTCGCTTCCGCAGTTCTGGTACAAGTAAATTGTGTTCCAAAACAGCTGGATGGAATTGCGCCAATACCCCTAGAACTTTCACTAGGAACACAACTAAAAGACACTTCAGAAGGGTTCGTTCACCCTCCTAATCCTGTTATCAAAGAAGGGATACTATTTTAACCATTGTGCTATCGCTAGAGAAGCACAATTTGATGGACAAAGCTTCTGGTTTCTTTAAAACCATCATGCAAAATGGGTTTTTCAAGGCTACTTTCAAGGTGTAGAAGCTCCTTTGTTTAGGCCCTTTAGTTTAGACTCTCAGTGTAGTTGCAGATGTGGAAGTCTTACATTTTAGTACAGTTAGGGTTGCTAACATCTCCCCACTGAAAGAAAACTAAAGTACAGCAAAAGCCATATCTCAGAGTAGTATTGTCATTGCTGAATGCATTTATCAGTTTTCCACATTATGCTTTCACCAATTTACTAGGTGGTACATTTTAGTGCCTAGATAGCGCCTTACGTTTTTAATCTAATTAGCCTATTCCAACTGGAAGTCTTATTACATAACTTGTTGCTTCTCCTTTTGAACAATATTGCCACACTTTTCAATAAACTGATGTGATCACATCCTTCCTTTTTACTTTTATCCAGTTAAACTGGGAAGAGAAATGTATTTTTATATTGCTTCAAACAACAAAAGAACTTTAATAGCACATTTGCAAGGAATTGTATTCACCCAGATTCCCTTACCTATCAGGAATGACCAGTCTCTTGACACTCATGTATACTGAAAGAGTATTTGCCACATGACGATAATTAAACCAGAATCGAGATGTACACACCTTGAATTTTTAAGGGAAAAAAAAAAAGCATATTAAATAGTGTAAAAGATACAAATTGGCCTGGCACATTGCATCAGATGACTGTGATTACAGGAGTATCAACAAACTAGTAACAAATCAGAATGAACGCAGCAACACCAAGAAACTCATGATATAAGCTATATAAATCTTTGTTGTACCAACGCAACAAATGCTGAAAATAAAAGTTTAAAAAAAAAATGTTCTTAACATACTGACTCATGAAAAAATTGTCATAAAACCCAACTAAGTATAGAAAGTGGCACTTTAGGGAATAATTCAGCAATAGTAAGTGGATAAGCTAAACTTTTTCATTTGCTTTCTCCATATCAAATGGAAGAAAAATCAAAGGAAGAGTTCTCATCTCAATAGCAAACCCATTCTGGGAGTTACTGTGCACAAAAGCATAAGTGAATTCATGCAGAAGCCACACACAGGGGAAAATACACTGAGGATATTTGCATTTAAGGAGTCAAATATAATATAGTAAGACCTAAGTGAGCTCTAACCAAAATCTGAATACAAATTCTCAAAAATCCCAAAGGAGTTCAGGTTCTACTGTTGTAACAGTAGAAGGGTTGAGGATCTGCCATTCCTGTACTTAAACTATTCCCTAGGTCAGATATTATTTAATCTGTCCTCAAAAACCTCAAACCAATGAGATTTCAAAAACCTTCAGAGGCAACTTGTTGCAGTTTCTTACTAGCCTTATCATGGTCCTTGTGTTTAACTTCAGTTCACTACTTTTTGTTTGTTCCACACTAGTGACTGCAATTCTCCTTTGGAGACAAACTTCCTTCCCTTTTACAAGTCTTTCAAACAAAGGATGAAGCATTTTAGAAGAGGTGACTTTAAAGCCACAAAAATAGAGAAGCAGGAACAAGCATTTAAGACTTTTTTATTTTTTCAGCTTTAAATAGAAACATCTTTAAGACACACTATGTAACATCTTTTTCTCTAGCCTTTTTATAAATGAAATGAGTAGTAGCTTAAATAACAAAAATTCAGCCTGAAAGGATCCCCTTGTGTCTCAATCATTCTGTCAGTAGGAATTTCAAAAAAGCCCACGGGAATCAGTCCCTGAGAATATATGCCTTTTGGCAAGATTTAAAACTCTGAAAACTAACTGTGGCCAATCTAGCTGTGACATTTCAAGGCATTATCATCTGCCCCTTTCCTCCATTACCTCCCTTACAACACAGTGGAAGATGTGTCTATGCTTTAAATATAGCTGTTCACACTGCAGCATATTCATTCGAACGACTGATGAGGTGGGATTGCAGTATGATCTCTGGCTTGAAGTGCCTGATAGCTATAAAACTCTCCCTATTTTACTGCTTAAAGAATTAGTAGCAATTGTTATAAAGCTTAATCACGAAGTACTGAAAAAATATAACCAGCAGAGAATCTGTTGAGGACAGGAAGTATAACTCCTTGGACATAATGTTCCACTTTCTTTGTGTGTTTTTACAGGTACTAATAAAAGCACCTATTTCTTATTAGTATTAAAGTAGTACTTGATGTTTTAATAGTTTCAAGTTTGTACATTGTAGAATATAGAAATTATTCCTTCTAATTCAATTAATTATTCTGAATTCATTTTATATTGCTCAATTTTAGTATCTGGAAAACAAACAGCTGCTACCGAGTAATTACAACAGTGTTCTGAAACAAATTAGTCATTAGGACCTGAATTGTGATTAAGAACCAATTGTGTAACATGATTCAAAGCTAATAAAAGATTCATGGCAAAGGAAAAAAAAAATCTACGATAAGAACAGTTGATCTAAACATTTTGTTGCCTGAATTTCTTTTATTCTAAGCCTGTTATCACAAGTTAACAGATTGAGTAAGAACAAAAATCAGAAATAGTATCTTTCTGGTCAAAGAGATATACTTTTCTGATACTAGGATTACATTTTTGTTCGTATGAAGTATGGTAATTTAACTGTTTTACTGCTGTCAGAACTTTTGTTTTATGAATCCTGCCATGTAACTAGATGTTTTGAGTGCCTGAAATGCAGTTATACTGAAAAGATAATTTTATTATAGTGTAATAAATTTGCAGGTACAATTTCAAATTTATTAATTTCCAAGTCTTTATCTTTACATTTCTTTCAAATGAGCAGAATTCTTGAGTGACTGTTGCAATTATGGCTCATGAAAAATTGTCAGCTTTATTGCAAGAAAACAACCTGGACCACACTTACCAAAACTGCCCAGTTATTTGTATGTCCACTTCTAAAGAACTGTTCTGCTTGATCCTGAAAAAGAAAAGATGAGATTTTTTTCAGCAATAAGAAAGAAATTACTGCTCATATTTTTGTTGTTTCCACAAAGCAGCATTCAATGCATACGTTTAACACACCTTAACACTGAATAAACCTTACAAAAGCTTCAAAAGAGGTATTTTTCTTATTCTATTTTGCACATTTCATGCAAACTAATTGCTCCAAATCTTTCCCTGAAACTTGCTAAATAACAAAGGAGAAAGAACTACTAGTCACTTTCAGCTTCGTTAAAACAAAAAGCCCACACATCTCTATTCCAAAGAACACTCCAAGAACAAAATAAAATGACTTATTGACCTACAGTTTCTTCCTTAATGAGAAAAGGGGCTTGGATTATTTTCTATTTTCATTGTTCCTCTCATCTTTTCAAAAGCAGGTAAGTGAATCTGCAATTTAACCCATTTTAAATCCACAGTGGTTACATTCATCTTCCAAAATCAGGAGCTATGACAACAACCTTCTCTACAATCTGTGCTATCCAGAGTTCCCACCAGGCTTTGCAGAGGAGAGGGCTCTTTTGCTTTAACAGATAGCATAAATCAGGACACAGAAAAGGGATAAGACTTCCCAGAGCTAAGGCACCAAGTCTGACACAGGACAAGAATCCAGACCTGCTGACTCTTAATCAGACTCTGTTAAGTCTCTGAGGGGTACCAGGTTGATACTTGTGATCTCACAGAAAACACAGCAACAGTAAAAGTGTTATGTTAAAATACATGTAAAACATACTGTACTTCAAGTAGCAAACAATCTGCAGTGTAATTAGTAATCCAAAGACTCAAAAAATAATTATATTGGCTATTTTTTGCCCTATTTGTAATTAATTTCATGTATAACAATTTGTTAATAAAGCAGAACTCAAATGTAAACACCACCCCAGATGTAGTGTGGGTAGTGTGCAAAAAGCATAATTACTGAAATACGAAATTACTCCCACTTGAAAACAAAAAAAATAAATTAGCTCCTCCTGCGTGTGAGTGTCTCTCACCTGGGGGAAAGGCATGCGCCATCAGGCCCAGGTGAGCCCGGGCAGCTCCACCGCCTCTGAAACCGGCCCACACCCCACCTGGTTTTTAACCCAACAACTCTGTTCGCACCTAACCTAGCCAGCGAACACCCGCGAAAGGACCATAAAACACCGACTACTGAAAGTTACATTGCACAGCCTAAGAGAAACTGCGTTTCAGAAACCTGCAAATGTATTAAAAGACAGTTGTTTAGGGTTTGGTTTTTTTTTAACTTTAAGCAGTTTAAACAAGTTACACGTGCCTGATAAGCCCCGTTGTTTCTGGGACGTAGGCCACTAGGGGTTACGGGACACCAAACCCCCGATGCCGGGCAGGCACCCACCAGCAGTCCCGCGCGTTCCGCCCACGGGGCAGAGCAAGGCG